CAAAGAATTGACTTTTGGAATTTAGAAAGGCCAACCTATAGATAAGCTTTTAGGTCAAAATCCAAAAAACAAAGTTAAGAGACTAAATATCTATTAAAAAATATTCAAAGGATATGTAAGAAGATAAAGTACATATTAAAAGATATTCTTGTGGCAGATAAAATAACAATAGATATTCTAGATATTTTAATAAATAGATATAATAATAAAGCAATAGAAGTTGTTTATTAAGGTATGTACCACCACCTTTTAATAAAGAGTGATAAAAGTAAGAATTTTCTTCTTTATCACTTTTTTTTATATACAACCTTATTGATACTAAGTATTGTGACTTCTATTTTTTATTTTCTTCAATAATATGTATGAGGCTTGTATTCTATATTAGATAATAATAGAAATAATTATAATATATTTTAACGATCTTATATCATATTTTGGTGGAACTATTATTAATTTAGAAAATTATTATGATATAGATTGGATTAAAAATGTAAATAATAAAAGACCTAAAAAAGATATATATTTTTTTTATTGAAATAGAAGCTATTTCATAGAATTACAAGAAACAACCAATCATTATAAGTTCAACTATAGAGGCTAAAGACATGGCTTCTATTGTGCTTTAGAAGCAATTTAGATAAAACAACTTGTACAAGAATAGTGTAATTAGAAATAATTTTAGTTTTGTATAGAAATAAAAAAAATCTTATATTTATTGAGCTTCATTAAGAAGTTAGTACAATTATTTAACAAAATTGACAACTTTTGTCACCAAGATGTAACAAACTTACAAAATTTAAGATTAATACTTTAAAATTTTATAATAATAAATAATTATTTAATCTATTTTATCTTTATTTTATTAAAGAATCAATAATAAAAAATATTTTACTTTACTTACTTAAGCATGTGTAAGCTCATAACCTATTAAAGATCTTAATAATAAGAAATACAATATAATCTTATTTTTGGAATTTATTAATTTGAAGTAGAAAATATATCTTAAGAAGCCTTATAATTGGTTCTTAGAAGATCTTAATTTAAAAAATCAATTATCTATTATTGGTTTATATAAGATATTCTTTAATGATTTTTAATTGCTATTGAGTTGATTTATAAATATCAAATGTTATTTATTTTACCTTCTTAAATAATATATTTTATCTTTATGCCATATTTTAAATCCACCTAATATAATAAGATGTCTTTTTGACCAGATTCCAAAAGCCAATACTTTTATATATGATATAGTCAAAGTTGCTCAATTATCTACTACATTTACTCTTTTTTCATAAGCTTTGATTATTATAAAATTATTGTAGTAAAAAAGATATAATTTTTTATTATTATCTTTTATTTTTTTTTACTTCAATATTTTTTATGGATCATCTTTTATTTTGTTAACTATATTCTATAGGTCTAAAGCTAAGAAGCATTCAATTTTGACCTTCCAATGGTAAAAGTTTTTTCTTCTAAATTTCCTTATGACTCTTAAACTTACGTCTTTACTTAAAACTATGTAGAAAGAAAACAAAAATTAATAAATAACAAAAAGAAAGCATCTTTGAGTTTTAATACAATAAAGTAGCTTTTAACAATAGAAAACTTAGAATATTTTTGTAAATATGAAAATAAAGAGATATACTATTGAAGCTTGTTAAATAATTAAGAAGTCAATAAATTTTAGCAAAAATCTAGATTTGGATGCCTTAATACTTTATATAATGATTGGCAAAAAATAAATTGTACAGCTTAATAAATTACCTACTATCACCTTATAAGCTACCCTAAACATCTTGAAATTATTTTACTACACAATCTACAAAATTAGTCCATCAATAACTAAACTCAATAATTTAAAATACTTAAAGAGAAGAAATAAAAATGAACTATTCAAATAATAAAAAAAAAAAAAATTGAAGTACATTTGTATTAAAGAAAATTGATTTTTTTTTAGAAAAAGATAAAGATATTGTAAGTCAAATCTTTACTTTACATATATTGCAATATGAAGTTGTAAAATATCTTTTCATGTAAAATATCATAAAAGGATAATGAATTTAAAATAATAAGTAATATGTGTGTATATATGTATATATAATAATTTTGTGTATAGTTTAAATCAATTATAATTTTTTTTTTCAAATTCATTAATAAAAAAATTAAAAATTTTATTTTAAAGATACAATACCATAAAGAAGTTTTTTAAAAAAATTGGTTTAAAATTTAGTGTTTAAAAAAGATCTTAGAAAAAATAAATTTTAAAAATACTATGATATTATATAAAATATGAATAGGTTCTTATAAAATAAAAAATAAAGACTATAACTTGGATAATTTATATTTCTTATAATTTAATAGAATTATTTTTTTCTCTTATTCTTAATGTGTAGATAAATTATATTTTTATTTAATATAATTTTAAAATAACATAAATATATATATATATACATATATATATATATATATATATATATATATATATATATTGAATGATTTAAATTTTTACATATGTTTTCTCAAAATTGGTGTTTTTATGATAAAAAGATGTATGAAAATTTAACATTTCGTATGTTGGAGACATTTTTCTTACTAAAGTTCAGAGCTCAAGAGCACCAATTGCAAATTCATTCTATAGGTTTTGAGATAAAATAAATTTACTCAAGATTTTTGGTTATCAAAAGAGTTTTTGGATTTTTTAAGAAAAGAGTGAAGAAAGAAAAGATTTTAAGTGTGAGGTATTGTGTTTATTCAAGAAATACATTATTATGTTGAATGTAAAAGTAGCGCAACAAAGGTGTGATAAAAAGATTCATTTGCAACAAAGAAATAATGAAATTAAAGAAAGAAACAAAATTTAAAAAATAAATTGGATTTAATCAAGCAAAGTGGTTTTGAATTATATATATATATATATATATATATATATATATATATAATTATTAGTAAAATAATATTGCATTAAAGAAATCATTGATATTTGAAAGAATTCTACAAAGTTAATTCTAGATAAATTGCAAGAAAATTTATTAAATAAATTTATAATAAAAAATGATTAAACTATAAAAAAATAAAAAAATTTTGTGCAAGAGAAAAATAAAATAAAAAAATAAGATTAATAAAAGAAGGATTATGGTCTAATGGTTCTATGTAACAAAAATATTTAGTGATTGCTACAAGTATAAGAAACAAATGTGTATTTAAAAAAAAAAAATGAAGAAAGTAAGTAGTTTTAAAAAACTAAAGAATGTTTAATGACATGAATTAAAATATTAAATTAGTAAGAAGCAATGAAAAGAATAATATTTTATAAAGTTGAGCAAGAGACGAAGATTTAGAAAAATATTCTAATAAAATATTTATTAAAAGTTATATCTAGATGAAAGGAAAAAAAAAATAACACAATTCATAACTACTAAGAGAACTAAGAAAAAGATCAATTATAAGAACAGAAATCTGCAAGAACATTGAAAATACACAAAACAGTTAATTTTTAAATAAAGAAAAAAGGAAAAAAAAAAAATCAATAGAGCGCAAGCATGAAAATAAGTAATGTATGTGAAAAAAAATTAAAAGATAATTAAATACATGCATGATGAAGAAGAGCAGTTGAAAGAAATAAGACAAGATATTTTGAGTAAGAGGGTGTTGGTGAAAGAGAGTAAGAAGAATTAGGTGCACATAAACAAGATTTTTTAAGAGATTGGAAATGCAATTATTGAAAGAAATAACAATCAATATGTTAAGAAGTTTTTATTACTACCTAATTAATTATTTAGATTGAATAATTCAATATGATTTGAATAAATCATTTTCTTTTAAAGAACATAATTATATAAATACCAAATCTTATAAAATATACCTTCTATTTTTTTTTTGTTTTAGTGTTTGAATCCAAGTATGGATGTTCATTTACTTGTTTTTTTAATGGATAAACATTGTATTTTTTTAAAAAAATAAAATAATAAAAAAGTGAAAAATGAGATCAAAACTGTAAGTAGAGTACAGGGAGAAGTAAATCAGCAATATGAGTACATAAGAAAATCAAAAAACTTGTGTTTCAGAGATAAATACTTTTTCATATAATATTTTAATTATGTAATGTGCACGGTAGCACTTGCATCTACAATCTACTTTGATATAAGAACAATAAATGTTATTTTATTTTCTATATATTTATAATTATGTTATTCAAAACTTAATTTTTTTTAATATTTGCATAAAATAAAGTGTATCAATAATATAAAAAAATTAGTATTTGGGTCACATAAGCATGTATCAATTCATAACATACTAAAAAATACTATAAATAGATGTACAAAACAAAATGCATAGGGTCTACATGTATATGAACAAAAAATGTAGAATTTAATAAAATTTCAAGTTAAATACTTGTTACTTATAGACAAAGAGTATTTTCTAAAATACTAATTTTTTAGAATATGCTAAATTGTAACCCCCAAAATGCTTTAATATTTATCCAAAGCAAAATATTCTATATTCATCTTAAAGACACCAATTTTTGGAACTAAAACCAATGATTTGGTCAAACTATTAAAGACATAATGTGATACTTCAGTCATGAATGAATACCTCCATGAAATTACGTGTTTTGTTTCATTTGTATGGCATGATTGTGTAAAGTAGGAAAAAAAGAAAAAAGAAATAAGAAATAAGAAAAAGTCCACACATGTAACAAGAAGCTACAAAATAATTTTATGAGAGGAATGTATTTGGTTCTCCCATGTAATTCTACAATTAAAACAAGGAATATTTTTCCAAGATGATTTATAAGTACTTGTTGAGAAAGGACAGATTAGGACCTGAAGTGGAATGGAGGCAAGTTTTAGATGCAGTGTAGGAGAAGCTGACAAGAGAAGCTGACTGGATTTGGAGAATATGACGTCGACATGGTAAGCAACGACGATGAGTGTTGCCAAGAGGATGGGGACCACTGCACAGCATGCAGCATCAACATGTGTGCATCAGTGCGGCCAACGTACCATCTTTGCAATCCATCTTTGCAATCCATCTTTGCAATCTATCTTCTTATTCCTCCTAGCGCACATGCCCTTCTTCCCTGCCAACAAAACTTGCTGCACCCACATGCCATGTTCATAGCTGCACATCAAAGCTCATGCGCTCTCTCCCAGGATCATTGTTGTAACGCTGCTTTGATTTCAAGTCTTTTGCGAGGCTTGATGGCTTTGTTGTGATTGCTGGGTTTTTGAGAGGTTGGGGGTTGGCGCCGGTAATTGTGGCTATGGGGAGTTTTGAAACAGCGATTTTGCTGCTCCATTGCATTCTGGCGTGCCAAACGCTGGCGCTGGAGCAACCGTTTCGATTCGCGGCCAAGGCTTACAATACCAGCGGTTCCACTGTGGAGGGCAAGATTAATGTGCATCTTGTGTCCCACACGCATGATGACGTAGGCTGGCTCAAGACTGTTGATCAGTACTACGTCGGGTCCAATAATTCAATCGCGGTAGGTGATTGCCAAGAGTTTTTGTTAACTGTTGCATTTTTTGTGTGGGTTTTGGGATGGTGTGATTTGATATATCATACTGATGATTACACTAAAATTGCAAAAAAATGGTAGAAAATACATTTTATGGCAATCTAGAGCGAATTCAGAGCGGGGTCGATGACAAGATTGTGAATTATGTTCTCCAATTAAGCGATAATTGGCTAAAACTACTATTTTCTGATGCTTTTTGGGTTTGTATTTAGCAGGTTGCAGCAGTGCAGTATGTATTGGATTCCGTGGTGACTGCTCTACAACAGGATCCTAACCGAAAATTTATATATGTGGAACAGGTTTTTAATTCTTGCTGAACTCTGTTACTTTACTCTCTGATTTTTCAGGCCGTGTTGTGACATTGAACACATATATTTTCTTGAAAATATATGAATTCTGGAATTCTTGTCCCGTAGTTGTTCCTCTAAAGATTGCTCAACTCGCGTGCAGGCTTTCTTCCAGCGATGGTGGAGGCAACAATCTCCAACACAGCAAAAAATTGTGGAGGCCCTTGTGGACTCGGGGCAACTGGAATTTATGTACCACCATGCTGATCCCATCAATCAAACCCACTGTGTAGCAAGCTATGTAGTTACGTTATTCCCAAATTTTTTCTTGAGAGTTGTGAGACTAGAGGAAGACTTCATCTTCAAGCATATAACCAGATAGTAGCATGAGCGGACTCGGATTGACAATGTATTATCGTTTTGACAGAAATGGAGGGTTCTGCATGCACGACGAGGCTACTACACATTATGTTGATATGATTGATCAAACAACACTGGGGCATCGATTCATCAAGAAACAATTTGGAAAGATTCCCCGCATCGCTTGGCAGATCGATCCTTTTGGTCATTCTGCGGTCCAGGCTTACCTTCTTGGTGCTGAGGTTGAGTCTTTCAGAACGTGTCTCATGTGCTGCCATGGTTTTTCAACACTGAGTATATTTGTGAATTGTCCTTTTGAATGTTGATTCGGGCGTGGCTGGCGATTTATGTTGTTCACAAATGAAGGTTAAATCCTCTTTGATGCGATTTCTAATGAGTGAATTCTATTCTGTATAGTCAACCTTACTCTTGGAGGCTTGCTGCAGATGGGTTTCGATGGTTTATTTTTTGGGCGAGCTGACTATCAAGACAAAATTAATCGTCAAAAGGAGCGGACTATGGAGGTTATATGGAGAGGTTCAAAATCTCTTGGAGAATCTGCTCAGGTAGGTCGCATTAAATCCTAAACCTCGCGCGTTTGGCAAATAAGGGATAGTGTTGGTTGTCTGCTATCCAAGTTTGTGATTTCAAGAATTTGTTATCGTAGTGGTTTTATAATGAGTGGGGGTTCCACCAGAAGTTGCAACTTTTCTTTTCTGATCCAATCAATGAAGACTCTGATTTTCACTTTTCTGAATTTTTAATTAAGGACCTGTAAACTGAACTAGTACTTTTCACATCGTAAAGCTACAATTTTTGTTTTGAAAGATACTTAGTGACCTATCGGCATTTGTCAACAGATTTTTACTGGATTAATGACGCATCATTACGACCCACCCCATGAATTTCAGTTTGAAATTAAATCTGAGACTTCTCCAATTCAAGTAAGAGACCATCTGTCCTCTCAGTTTCGTTTCACATTAAGGCTTTTGAGGCTAGTCCTTCCTGATTAGCTAAATAAGCTTAGTACAGCAGATATTGTGTGTGGTTTAAAGAATTTATCGAGTCGTTGGGTAAGTGCACAGGACGACCCAAGTCTATATGGCTACAACCTTCCAGAAAAGCTGGATCTTTTTGTAGAGTACGTCACCAACCAGGTAAGACCAATCCAAATTCATGTGCTACCCTTCACATCTTCAACGTTCTTACCAGGTGGATATACCATAAATATAAAATTTGGAGACCTAACTGAAAGGTTGTTCTGTTAAAAAACAGAGCAAGGAGTTTCGCACACATCATATCATGTGGGCGATGGGTGAGGACTTTTCATATGGGAATGCCAACACTTGGTTCAAGCAAATCGACAAGCTCATTCACTATGCAAACATGGTGCAATACTTCTCTGAGATCATTACCATCACTGGTTTTGTGACTGATCTATCAGTTTTACCAGTTCCCAAAAATACTTCCAGAAGGGTTTTGGTGAAATGTTGATGCTTATCATATAGATTTGGGTCGCTTCGAGCTGTTGAACATTAGTTATAAGAAATTTACTTCTGGTTTGTACGTATGCAGGATGGTCGAGTCAATGCATTTTATTCTACTCCATCAATGTACTTGGATGCTGTTCATGCGGCAAATGCAACATGGCATTTAAAAACAGATGATTACTTCCCGTAAGGCTCACTCAACTTATGACATTCAAACCTTTGGATAAGTAGAAATACACATTTGAATGACATGTATTAGTTCCTGCACTTAGAAGTAAGAATACTTGGTGCGACACTGTGGGTCTAATAAATATGCTACGTCGAGTGGTGGATAGATTTGCAGTCCTTTTTGACGATCAAATGCTAGTCTCTTGTTCACCAGAATATTGGCTAGAATTTTATGTGACTTTTGATGACATTGTACAATTGCATTATGGTGGTTGAGTATTCTGGAATGAATAATACAATGTAGTATGGTGCAGGTATTCTGACTGTCCACATTGCTTTTGGACTGGATATTTTACAAGTAGACCAGCACTCAAGGGTTATGTGCGGAAGTTGTCTGCGTTACTTCAAGTGAGATTCTTCCTTTTTAATCTCTGGCATACCACGCTTTCTAAATATTCTGTCTTATTACCCTGGTGGTGGCCAAAGTTTTTTATCTCGCGAGTATCAAGCGTGTATTAATGCTTTGTATATTTGACCGAGGTCATTGATTTTGTATAAGAAACCTTGGGGAATCATGTGTTCCAACATTGGGCATCGATACATGAAATTGCCTTTCAATTATGACTCAGACGAACACATTTGAAATTATTGGTCCTAACCATAGTCCCAATTAATGACTACCTTTGTGGATCTCGCAGGCTGCAAGACAAGTAGAATTCTTAGTGGGGAAAGTTTCTTCAGGGCCTAATACAGACAGTTTGGAGGAGGCAGTGGCAATATTGCAACATCATGATGGAGTAAGTTGCGGCGAAGCTTTGTTAGAACTAAAATCAGTGGTTTTTACACTGAAGTTGCATGGGATCGGTTGTTCTTTATAACTTGTATTTTTGTCACGTCTAAATATTTTAATGAGAATGCGTGGCCAGAATTGATACCTGATTCTAGAGCTTAGGGTTTAGGGTTTGTGTATCCTCAGCTTGAAACACCATGTACTATGTCGTAAGGTTGGGATAGAAATTGTCATTTTGACAGGTGGTCGACTGCAAACTTTTGTAATCACTGTTGATTTTTCTTAGGTGAGTGGTACTGAGCGACAACATGTTGCGGATGACTATGCTGCACGATTGTCAAAAGGGCAATCCGAGGTACCATTAACATGTGAACTGTTAAATATTCAGATCTCATAAGTACATCACCTAATCATTTAACCATCGGCCTCATCTGCTGCATGAATGTTTTCTGCATTATTTTTTGATGTTTGTGTATGATTATCTTAGGTAGAATCCACCATGGTTACAACATGTTTTATGAATGCCTTTGTAACTAAGCTATTGTTGCCGGCTTTAGTCAGAAGATGTTTTCAACAAGGCTTTGGCATCCTTAATCAGTACTAAGGCAGCTGAAAGCAAGCTACTGATTGAGAAGATGAGCTCCACGCCTGGACATAGGGTACTCATGAATCCTGTCAATAGCCCAGACTTGAACCTAGTTCAGGTACGTAATATTCCTGTTCCCGAAGACAAAGCCGAAGTGTTTCTTCTCAATCTTGTCTCATTACTACCCACTTTGCAATCCGACGGACTCTAACCATGAGGTTTGTATCATAGGATTTTATATTTCTGAAATTTTGCAACCTTAATGTAAAGAAAATAAGTCATCCAATAATTTCATGCGGTAGCGATCTCGAATTTATAAGTAGATTTTTGAGATTGTTTCAATCTAATGTTAGGAGAGGTTTTATCACAATATTTATAATTAAACTGACTTGGTTTATTTGTTAATCGTTGTAGTGCAACCTTCTTAACGTGAGCTACTGTCCGCCTACTGAAGTGGAGCTTAAGTCGGGAAGAAGCTTTGTGAGTTGTTTCTTAAACCCGTAGATGTTCGTTTTTTGAAGTTATGACCAGCATACGTTGTATGCAGTGGGCGTCGACGAAAGTTGGATATCTTTACGCATTGTCACTGCAACGTATCACTTATTTTGTGACTATTCATGGTGTGTTTTACAAAACCAAAAATCAATTCAAGTTTCATTCACTAAATCAGCTTCATAGAACTAATTCAATTCATCATTTTCGCAGGTAGTAGTGGCATATAACCCCTTGGGATGGGAAAGGGAAGACTTCGTGCGGGTCCCGGTAAGATGATATTCCAATGTATTGATACAATGCTGCCTTGTGAATGCGTGTTGAGTGCTTGTTGAAACTGGATGCGATAAATAGAAGAGGGGGAGCTTAAGGCACTTAACACTAAGATTTATATTCTAAGTTCTTGACGATCCGCGGAATTTATTTATCCTAAATTTTACCCACGGAATCATACAAGCAGGAGCATTTCATCTTGTAGATCTATGCATGAGTAAAGGTTTCAGGAAAATCTTTGATCGTGTAACGTAGAGCAGGTTTCCAGCTCGAAAATTGAAGTCATCGATGCTGAGGAGAACGAAATCCCATCTCAACTAATTCCTATCACTGAGGCTGACCGTACACTACGAGATAAATACGTCAACCTTCATGCTGGGGTTTCTGCTGGGACGGCTCCGAAGTACTTTCTAGTCTTTGCTGCTGCAGTTCCTCCTCTTGGCTACAATTCGTTCATAGTCCGACCTTCTTCGGCCAGTGGTTCAAGTGAGCCGTCAAGAACCATTTAGAGTGTCCAAGGCTGTAATGGGTTTTTAGAAATATTTGGTTGTTAGAAGGAATACATTCTTCTTCATTACTTGATGCTTTTGTTCCTGAGAATTCTCACTGTAACATTTTATCTGCTTTATTCATTTGAGCTCATGTCTACGTGTCACGATCCTTTGCAGATATTGCCAAGCTTTCATCTTACGAAACAAGAAGGGCGCCTCTTACTGTTCATCTGAAATCAAGTCAACTACATCTCACTTTCTCAAAAGATACAGGCTTGTTGACTCACATGTCAAACAAGAAGACTGGAGTATGTTACTTTTATTGCTGTAAATTGTCTTAATTTTTTCCTTTTACTTAATTTGTGTTTTCTCTATACATGCTTAGCTGAATGTCAACAAGCATCAACTGCACGAAGCATCTCAGATCTCAACAATTATACAACCATGTGATTTCAAATAGAATTATCTTTGGTGCGGGGCTGATCCTCAATTTTCTCCGATAGAAGTTATCGTTAAAATATATCCTGTTACTACTGTTTAATTCATAACATATTCTGCTCTTTGGCGAACAGATCACAATACATTGACGGTAATGGGTTAAAGTAAACTGCTCTAATTTTCAATTTTCTGTTCATCTGTAATGGACCAAGTAATTTGGCTCCTCTGTCAATTCGTAGATTTTGGTGTTGAGTTCTGCTGGAGTTTGGAAGTGGAGCCATTTACCTTCATACATTTTGAACCCTTGATGGACGTAATAATTTCGGCAGGTGTCAATTCCAGTGGAGCAATCCTACTGCTGGTATAATGGAAGTAGTGGAGTAACAGAAGAAGACCCACATATGGTACGTATTGTGATTTCACAAGTATCAGCTGGATGGTGGTACTAGTTTGAATGGAAAAAATACTGAGAAATATCTCTAATTTGAGGTACCTGAATGGTGATTACAGGCCTCCGGAGCATATCTTTTCCGGCCGAACACATCGGAGTGTTTCCCTCTGAAGAATTTTCAGCAAATTGTAAACTCGAACTTTTGGAATTCGTCATTGTTCAGAATTTCATAAATTATTGAGGACTTTGGTTAGATTATTTTGCAGTAAAGATATACAGGTTTGCTATCAGACGTTTCTCAAGTCCCCGTGTGGCTATACAGGTTACAGTTTTTCGAGGTCCCCTGGTAGAGGAAGTTCACCAACAATTTTCACCCTGGGCCTCTCAGGTGAGTGCCTTGTCCTGTTCTATCTGAGTGTGACCCTCATGAAAAAGTGAAGCTTTGGAAATGAACATGTAGGATCTTCTGAACATGCACTAAACACCTCTTGAGCAAATCGTGTTGCCAAATTGTTTTGCAACTCATTAGTTTTTAATGTGGTATGCCGTTCCGGTCAAATTTTGGAGTCGGATATCCGAAATTTCCATGTTGTATGATAATGCACCCCTTTATCAACTTCGAGTGTCACATGAACACCTAAAAGGTTTGAACCATTCTGGAGATTCTTGAATTCAACACTCAAAAAATCGAAGTGCTTACTGGGTACTGCATGTAGGTTATCAGGGTCTATAAAAATGCAGAGCAAGCCGAAGTTCAATTCACTGTAAGTGATTAAATTCGTATTTCTCTGAATTCTTCAAGCTCATGTTATTACGTACGTGCTCTGAATTTTGAGTCATTTCTAGAGCTGTTTCGAAATGCGAATTGTGATCGTGTGTTTCTTCTTGAAAGTATGAGTTTTGCATGTTAAATGTTCCCTTTTTTCTGCATTGATGAATACTTTACGGGCATTAAAAAGATGTGAAACAAAAGTATTGAAATTCCACTTGGAGCTACTTGATAGGGAAATTCAGAAAAGGAGTAAGCTTTTGTATTACTGTTGCAGGTTGGACCTATCCCGATCGACGACAGCAATGGCAAGGAAATAGTCACAAAATTTACCACTCCCCTAAGGACAGAGAAGACTTTCTACACCGATTCTAATGGTCGCGATTTCTTGAAAAGAGTAAGTTGAGGCGCACTTTTTACAAATCCTGAATTTGAAGCATACTTGAGTAAAATATGGTCATATTTCTTCCCGAAGTTCATGTGCGAGGAACGGTGAGGAGTATTTTTATTTTTTAATAAAGTGGTGATCTAAACTGTAGTTTTAGTTTACGCCCTGGTTTAATACAGTAGAATTAGTTTAGCAGGTATGCAGATTGGAAAAATTGCGTGTTAGGATTGCGTTGATAACTGCTTTGGCTAATTTTTGCATTGCTTGCAGGTGAGGGATTTTAGACCTGATTGGAATCTCGAGGTGAAAGAGCCTGTTGCAGGCAACTACTATCCTGTAATTCTCTCCTCCTTCTCTGATGATCTATTCTTTTAATTACTTGTGAAGCCAAATAGCATGGAATTATTATTCAGATTTCCTAGTATCTTAGAGTGGTCTTACCTTTTCTTTTTCCTAATACGGTGATCACATCATGGACAGGCCCTGATGCTTCTAACTTTTCAGTGTTCTTATGGGCTGCCTTGGGTTGTTGGGAGTAGTTGAATCTTGGAATCTACATGAAAGATTCAGAAACAGATGTTTCAGTGCTTGTGGATCGAGCTTTAGGTGCAGCCAGTACTGCTGATGGCCAACTGGAGATTATGCTGCATAGGTAATTTTATTTCTGTTTGAGTTCGACAGTTTTTGAAGTCTTTCGATGGTGTATGTTTATTCCAAGATAAAGTTTAGAAAATCTTTGCTGACTGTCACGTTTTATGTGAACAAGTGAACCACAGATATCATGAGCTAATTTGCTAGTTTGGTTGACCGTTTTTGTAGGCGGTTATTGTATGACGACCATAGGGGTGTGGGAGAGGCACTTAATGAGACAGTCTGCGGTAGCAATGGCCGATGTGAAGGCCTTACTGTGAGTTCATAGCACTTTTTTATTCTATTTTATTATTTTGATTCAATGATGTGTGAAAGATTACGCTTTTCTTGTTATAACCTGCGCTGACACTGTTGTGTCTGTAGAGCTGTTGAGATTATCCTGTATAAGGATGTTCGACTCTCGTATACGCGTAGTAAGTTCTTAGTCATCATGACGATATTTCTGGAAACTATTCATTAGCTATCTACGAAAGTAGACCATACTATGACTAACTATGATCCTTCACCATATTTCTGACATAGTGTCTGGCTTGTTGGGACATAGGTGCTAGGGTCATTGTACATTAACATCAATCCGTCGGAAGAAGCTTCTCAATGGCGCCGCATCAAGGGTCAACAGATATTAATGCCTTTGCAGCTGGCTTTTTCTGTGCTAGAGGTAGGTTTTGGGTATTGGCAGGAAAGCTTGCTAAGAGGTATTAGCGCTGCGACACATGAGTTGGGTTCTGGATTCCTTTGGTTAAGCATTGCTTGCTGCATGTAGGATGGCAATAAGGAAGTGCTACACTCACCAAAGTTCTCAGCTTTTAAGTCAGGCTACGAGCTGCCACAAAATGTTGCTCTTATAACTCTTCAGGTACCACCGTCAGTTTCCGCGTACTCTTGGTGTTGAGACTGGAGTGATTCGTTTGCTTGAGATCTGTTTATGTGAATTGTGATCCAGGAGCTGGACGATCGGCAAGTGCTTCTTAGACTCGCCAATATTTTTGAGGTGTGTGCCATTACTAGTAGCGAATTTCCTCAGGATGAGCATGCATCTGCTCAACTGTTGGCTACAAGACTTATGTTAGCTGGCATATCAGTCTAGTCTCAAAGTGTTACTGCTTTATTTGCAGTGGTGTAAAAGTTAGAACTGTAACCCTTCTGATTTGTAATTTAAATAATTTGCTCTCGAGTATTCAAAATTCCCCATGTTAAGATTGTTAGTTATTGACCAGGTTGATGAGAGTGAGCAGCTATCAAAAATGGCTACGGTCTACCTACCTGATATTTTTCCGAACTTAAAGGTGCAACGTCCTCCGCAGTTTTGGTGCAAGTTGAGTTGATGTTTAAATCATGAAAATTTGTCAAGAGTTTACAAGTTGGTTTGATCTGGTTCGTTTCTGATAAATACTATTCTGCGTGGTTTGCAGATAAAAGATGTTGTGGAACTGAGTCTCTCAGCAAATCAGAAGAAGTCCCACATGAAGAAATTAACATGGACAGTTGAAGGGAATGAAAAGGTTCAAAAGAATATTCTACGAGGTCGTCCTCTGGGAAGAGACGATACTAGTGTTGAGATTGCACCCATGGAGATCAGAACCTTTCTAATCACTCTGTGAAGAAAAAAATCCATGGGCTATTCCCTTACTCTCTGGAGCATGTTAATAAGTCCTTGCAGTTCGTCATGTGATCTGTTCAACCCGTGGTGTGAGACCCCTTCGGTAAACTTCTAGTAGTGAGCAATGTGGTAGTACATATTAAGTGAGGCGTACAAACTTTCAGCTCAGTCAACATGGATGAACAAATAGCACTATTCAGTGTACTGACAAATAGAAGAATTAGCCTGGAATCATGAGAATTGCAAAAGTCGATTATCCATTGGGATAGATAGTCTTGTCAAACTAATGACAATATATAAGAAGAAAATTGAACTCTGGTTCCAAATAGCCATCTGAGACTTGAAAACCGGCTCAGTCAAGACCCGACCCACTGTGGTACCTGAGTGCAAGGAGGTAGATAGACCAAGACTCGATTCAGAGAATGAAAAACCACAATTTCTAACTCATCTCAGAAGTTGGTAAGAACTAGACGGAGGTACAAAAGAACCGGGCAGAATTCTCTTATCCTCCATTTGGTACGTGGTTGGGGTGTCCAACGAAAAGAGTATGTTGAAGTTGAAATTCATCATGAGTTTTTCTTACAAGCACGTGTTCTGTTTGTGAGTTAGTGCACTACGATTTTGTATGACAAGTTGCTTAGCTATCATCTTGCATAGATTTTGGTTTAAGGTGGATTTTTAGCTTTAAAGATCGAGAAGAATATTGAATATCATGATTCTATTATCATCTATGGTTTTGGCTTTATGTGGACAGGATTGGTTTATTGTCAAGTAAAAGTCTTTATCATTGTTGAGAATGTTTAGAAAGACACAAGAGTAATAGTAAGTCGTACATACACACAAGAGTAGTAGTAAGTCATACACACAAGAGGGTTTCTAAGGAGAGAGAGCTTCACACTCAAAAATCTATTGATCTGATTGTGTCTCGTATACAAGAAGAGAAAAGAGGAGAAGATAAACAGTACTTCTCCACTAGACTCTAAATACTGTAGCTATAGTAATTACTGTAGTTTATAATAAATATTATGGAGAGCGCTGGTTACATTTAATGATCTCAACACTCCTCCTTGCTTATCATAATATTTACATAATATAAAATTTGTATAAAATTATGATCTATACTTTTCTGTGATCTTTCAAGATCAAAAATTGTTGCCTCATTAAAACCTTATCAAGGAAAACCTTATTTTATTTAAAGACAAAACCATAGATGAAGGAAAAAGAGTACAACATCATTTTCTTTAATTATTTAAAGAACTCATTAACTTTCTTATTGAAGAAAAGCAAGTCGCTGCATACCAATGCCATAAGTAAGTCGATGATGGTTGCTTAATGGGAGAGCTTTGGTAAAGAGATCAGGAAGGTTATTTGTAGATTCAATTTTCTTAATTATAAGTGTTTGATCAATAATCAAGTCAAAAGTATAACTAAAATACTTTGGATCAATATGCTTTGTCTTGTCACCTTAAATGAAACCAACTTGCATCTGTGTAATACAAGCACTATTATCTTCATGCAAGATAGTTGGAGAATCATCATATAAAAATCCATAGGTTGTTTGAATGAATTTATCAATTGATTGTAATCAAATACATTCTTGAGATGCTTCATGTAAGGCAATAATTTTTGCATGGTTGGATGAAGTTACAATTATTGTTTGTTTCACTAATTTCCATGATATTGCAATTCTGTCTTAAAAATACATATCCTGTTTGAGATTTAGCTATTGCAATATGAGATTTATATCCTGCATCACAATATCCAACCAATTTTGGATCTGTAGATTTTGTGTAGTATAATCCCAAGTCTTCAGTATCTTTTAAATAACGTAATAAATGTTTGATGCCATTCCAATGTTGTAGTGTTGGACGTGCTCTATGTCTTGCAAGAACACTAATTACAAATGCAATATCTGGTCTTGTAGATGTAGCTAAATACAAAAGTACTCTAACTGCTACGAGGTATGGATATTGCTCTCCCAATATTTCCTCCTCCTCTTCGCATGGACGGTATAGATCATGACCATCACGACCACGTCCAACCATTGGTGTGGACAATGGATAAGCATCAATCATATTAAATCTTTGTAAGATTCGTCTAATATACGTTAGTTGATAGAAAAAAATGCTACCATCTATAAGATGCATAATCTCAAGACCAATACACAAAGTTATTTTTCCTAGCATTTTCATCTCAAATTCATGTATAAGTAGGTTTGTAGCTGTAACACATGCAGATACAGTGCCCACTAGGTTAAGATCATCAACATATACATCGATGATCACAAAACTAGTTTTATCTCGTTTGATAAACAAACAAGGGATTAGTGGATCATTTATAAAATTATTCGTAATTAAATAATCTCGAAGACATTGATACGACATTTGTCTGGATTGTTTTAAACCATACAAGGCCTTACATAATTTAATACCTTGATATTTTCCAGGAGCGGGTTGATTTGAAGTTCCTGTTTCTAAGCCAAGTGGAACTTTCATATAAATATTTGCATCAAGAGAACCATATAGATATGCAATAATTACATCCATCAGATGCATCTCAAGGGTGGCATGAATTGTCATTCCAATAATATATCGAAATGTAATTGAATCCATGACTGGAGAATATGTGGATTCATAATCAATACCAAATCCTTGAGTAAATCCTTGAGCAACAAGACGAGCTTTATAGTAGGTTATTTGGCCTTGAGCATCTCGCTTGCGTATTAATACCATTTTATATCCCACAGGGCGAGATATAAGAGTGTCTACAATTGGACCAAAGACTTTCTTCTTACGCAAAGAGGCATACTCTTCCTCAATAGTAGTTTTCTATTTTGACCAATCTGAGCAACGCATCACCTCTTCGATGGTTTGAGGTTCAGGATCGTCTTCCTCGCAAGAAAGATCTTCTATAATCATATATGCAAATGATTCATCTATCGTAATAGATGGTCTGTCCCAAATATCATCTATAGCACAATACAGAATAGATAATTCTTTACTCAACTTGTTCTTATTCTTTCCAATTCCAAGATTGTTTTTCATAGGAATTGAAGGTACATTATGCATGGATATATCATCATGAATTGGTAGTCCTGTAAGATGAGTGGTAATTTCTTGAGAAATAATACCAGGATTAGTTAATTTTATAGCTTTTTTCTTACGTGGTTGCTTATCTAGTCCACGAGTTCTTTTAGTTGTTGTTGTTATAACTTGAGGTATTGTAGTCAATGGCATTGCAATCTAAGCAGGTACATTTTGAGCCTCATTAATAGGAACTCTTGTAATTCTAGGTGCATCATTGAAGCCATCAAGTGTTTCATCCGTGATCCGTTTTAAATACAAAATCTTAGCAACTTCAGTTTTTGCCAAAGATGTCCTAGGATCGGGATTCATTGTAAATGTTTCTGGTGCTTCAAATATGAGTACTTTATTTCTTTGTTGATTGCATACTCCTCCTTGAAGAGATAGGAATACAGTTTCTTGAAAACGGCAATTTTGCAAACATGCATGTAATAATGTGCGAGTTGATGGATCAACAATACGAATAATGCTTGATGAATCAAAACCAACATATATGTCTTCTTGTCGATGAGCTCCAATGGTATGCCGTTGAGGTTCTGGTACTAGAATCTAAGCACGGCAATCAAATACTCATAAGTGAGATATATTTGGAACACGACCCGAAATGAGCTCATGTGATGAAACAATTTCAAGAGAAGAAGGGTGGAGGCGTATTAATGCTGTAGCATGTAAAACTGCATGACCCCACATAGATGCAGATAGATTTACGTGAAGGAGGAGTGGCTGGATAATGAGTTGTATACGCTTTATAAATGACTCTGCAAGTCCATTTTGAGCATGTTCATATGGAACACAATATGTCAACTCAATTCCTGTTGCAGTACAATAGTCTTCAAAAGACTTTGATGCAAATTCTTTTGCATTATCTATACGCAATGTTTTATAGGATAATCAGGAAAATGTACCCAAAAGCGAATAAGCATAGATATAAGATTGGCAAATACCATGTTTCGAGTTGATAATAATGAAACATGTGATTGTTTACCTAATGCATCAACAACGACCAAAAAATAATGAAATGGTCTTGATATTGGATTAATAGGACCACAAATATCACCATATTTTTAGTTCGCCAAGTTGAAGATTTTTTAATAAAAAATTATTTATCTCGCAAGATAATATGAGTTGTTGCAAAATCAATTAATAAAAAATTATTTATCTCGCAAGATAATATGAGTTGTTGCAAAATCAATGAGCGCATCATTTGATTCGTTATTAGAGGTTCTATCATTCATATAAGCCTCTAAATCATTAACACCAATTGAATCCATGGATGCATCCATGGTATGAACTTTACAAGCCTCAGCTCATAATTTCTTATTTTCTTGGAATATTTTAATAAAATATTCTGAAGTATGGCACACATGTACTAAATGTCCAATCATTCCATACTTATGGCAAGAACGCATCTCTGATTTTTATTTTCTACTATAATTAATAGTAGAACATTTATTCTTTCCATATGGATAGAAATGGTCTTGATTATGACTACCCTGATACTTATGAGCACGTTTTCCATATTTATATAATTTCTTTTTAGACTTTGAAATATTAAGTGCATGAAATTCTGGAACTATAGTTCCAATAGGACGAGCTTCCGCATTGTACAAGAGTAGCTCATTTTGCTTCTTCGCAAGAAGTAGATAGGACATGAGATCAGAATGACTCTAAAATTTCATGTTCCTGTATTGTTGTGCAAGCACAACAGATACAGGAGGAAATGTAGAGAGAGTTTTTTCAATCATTTCTTCTTCAATAATATTTTGTCCACATAATCGTAATTGTGAGATAATACTATACATTTCACTATTGAAAGCATTTAAATTTGGAAAATCCAAGATACGTAAATGTGTCTAATTATGACGTGCATGTGGAAGAAAAATGGTCTTTTGATGATCAAACCTAGATTTAAGATTCTTCCAAAGTTCTACAAGATCTTCCATTTCCAAATATTGATGTTAATGTAGGTACAAGATGATGACGAAGGAGAAGAAGTGCTTTCCAACGAATAGCAAGAGATATAGAAATACTTGTTGTAGGAGATTTTTCAAACATAATGGCATCCGAGAGTTGTTCTGCAAATAAATTTGTTTTTGCCATTGTTGCCCATAGTAGATAATTGTTTCCATCCACAGTCAATGGTGGAAATAGAAGAGCATGAAAATATTGGAATGAACTAGTAATAGTTGGAACTTTAGTAGAAGCAGTTGAAGCACTCATTATAAATAAATTTGTAAAGAAAATACAAGATCAAATAGAAAAGTTGAATAAAAGGTACCTTAAAATATAAAGTCAAATAAAATGATAAACTTGAACTTGAAAAAATAAAAATATATATATATATATATATTTTTTCTTTTCTTTTTTAAGGAGAGAGTTGTAGATTAAGGTAGTAGAACAGTAATAAGATGACAGCAGCATGCAACGGTAGGGTGGTAGGGTGGCAGCAGCGGGCAACGACGGGCGACAGCAATGGACAGTGGCAATGGCGACGGCGGACGG